CTCCAGATTTGAGTACGTTAAGTCTTGCCATTACCACTGCCAAATGTTTATGACTCATTTTAGCTGAAGCAGCTAAGGATGAGGAGAGGGTGGGAGTGAGAGTGTAATAATTCTGTGTGATGCAGAAAGGGACATGAAGTCAAAGGGAAGATATTTTTAGATTCCCTTTTGAAACAAAAATAACTTACCAGGTGATTTGTTTACTTGTAAAGTAGGAAAAAAATGACCAAAAATCTGATTTGGAATTTTCTGAATGACACACAATCCTATTTCAGGAGTATAATTGTTATGATTACAGGTTACTTTTTAAAACTACCTGAAAAAAGTTCTTTCTAAAAATATGACTCCACAAGTATAGACAAATGCATCTCCACCACAGTCCTTGTACACCAGAGGAATGTGCTGCTTCCATGTGACCTTCACAGTAGCATTTAAAAACTTGCTAGTAAATCTGCTGCCTAAATTAGAAATAAGGAAGAGAAAAGAATTGGCGTGTAATCTGCATTGAGTAGGTATGAACTTCTTTCATTTTCGTTCATTATTCAACACAAATTTAGGGAAGGAAGATATGTGGCCAGATGCAGGGGTTGTGGGGATCAGCAAGACATAGCCCCTGTTCTCCAAGTGCTCCCCGTCTAGAGGGAGAAACATACATACCCTCACAGTTCACTCGGATGTGCACATGCCTACACACAAACGTGCCCTCAAATACCCACATACACATATTCACACACATGTTCATACACAAACACACATGCTCCCATATACCCCACAAATTTACATGTACTCACATACATATTCACATATAAACACATATACACATATATACCTACACATACATGCTTGGGAGCTAACAAAGGGGAGAGAGTGAGTAGGGTATGTTTTCAAGTTAAGAAGGAAAGGAGAAAGAAACAGCAGTGGGTGGCAGTGACTCCGTGAGACAGCTGTTACAGAAGCTCAGCAGGCTAAGGAGACAATCTCAGTTGTTCAGTGCTAAGGACTTTGGTTTTCCAAGGTGTGGATTCCAGTTCCAATCTGCCATTACTGTCTCTGAGTATCTGTCTCAGTTTTCCTTGCTTTTATGGGGGCTTTCATATTACCTCGCTCATAAGGTTGATATGAGATTTAAATGAGATTTAAATGAAGTGTGTGTAAACTACTTAGCACAGTGCTGGCATGTAGTAAGAACTCAATATATATTCAGTTAATAGTTTGTTTAAAAATCCTCACCCAAGGATATATTTATTGATTTTTTTTTAAGAGAGAGAGGGAGAAACAATGGTTGGTTGCCTTTCATATGTGCCTCCAACAGGTTATTGAACCTGCAACCTAGGCATGTGCCCTGACCTGGTATCAAACCTGCAACCTTTTGGTGTACGGGGCAACACTCCACCTACTGAGCCACATGGCCAGGGCAGTACATATTCAATTTTTTAATTTTTAATGGTATCCTTATTATTATTATTATTTTTTAAAGATTTTATTTATTTATTTTTAGAGAGGGAAGGGAGGGAGGGAGAGAGAGAGAGAGAGAGAGAGAGAGAGAGAGAGAGAGAGAAACATCAATGTGCAGTTGCTGGGGGTTCTGGCCTGCAACCCAGGAATGTACCCTGGCTGGGAATCGAACCTGGGACACTTTGGTTCCCAGCCCGCGCTCAATCCACTGAGCTACGCCAGCCAGGGCTGGTAGTCTTATTATTTTTAGTGAAGGTTAGTTACCTGGCAAATTGTGAAGATAGTTCTCCCCTCACTAAGCTGTTAGTGAGCATGTCTTAAACTCTTTTGAAGGTGAGTGGAACCAAAAAATTGTGTAATAAATGAATATTTTACATGGTCACCGGTTAAACTTCACTTTTACAAATAACACAACCATATGTGTATCAGGGCCATTTCCCAGTGGGCTCCCAGGGCTCACTGGGAAAACCTGTATCTGTCTAAATGATATCTCATTGGTATTATTAAATGATATCTGTGGCTATAACATCATGGAAAAAAATGTATAAGCTACTACTAACTCCATCACCATTTCGCCAAAGTATGTCAGACTTGATTACCTCATTTATACAATACTACCAATGCCATTTGATGTTATTCACTGATGAGTCAATTCATAAAATAAGAAAGAGAGGCGGCTAATATACATATTAAAAGATGTTACATCATGAGAATTAGAAAATTGTGAATGAGAGGTTATTTGGGGCTATCAGCTTGACAAAGATTAAAAAAATGAGATAATACCTTGGTGCTGTTCAGGGTGTGGTGAAACTGGCATTCTCATATATTGCTAGTAGGAGTATGAATTACTATAATCTTTCCAGAGGTCAACATGGCCATACAGGTAAAAGCATTCTGACTATGGTCTTTGATTCAGCAGCTCCACTTCTTGTATTTTATCTTAAGGAAATATAATGAGACAAATACCCAAAGATACTTATATATGCATGCTCACTGCAGTGTTGTTTATGATGACAAAAATTTGGAAACCACCTAAATGAATACCAACAGGGAAATTCTTAAATAAATTATGGTATGGCTATACCCTGGGACTCCATGCACCTATTAAAAAAGATTAGATAGATCTATTTGTAATGGCATAGAAAGATACCTATGATCCATATTGGATACCATTTTTATATTAAAAAAGTGTATGAGTAGAAAAAATCTAGTTAAATATCTATAATATATCTCTATATCTATATCTAACTTTTTAAAAGCAGCTTTATTGTGGTATAATTTACACACCAAAAAATTCAGCCACTCTTAGTATGCAATCCAGTTATTTTTAGTAAATGTCTACAGTCATACAATCACTACTACAATCAAGCTTTAGAACTTTTTGGTTACCCCCCAAAGCTCCCTCTTGTTCATGGCTTAACTTTCACAGTGGTTAGACTGAGGCTGAAGTTGGGTAGGGGAAGGCAGAAAGAAAAACTTACAGACAGCTTCCTAGTTCATTTCTGTGTTATTTCAATGAATTTACAGCAAGGATATACTATCTTTTAATTTGAGAAAGCAATAATTTTTTTTCTATTTTGAAAAGAACAAAAAGGAAGCAGACTTAAACTCTTTGACCCAAACTTACTTCTGATAATTTGCCTAAGGAAATAATCAAATATGTGGAAAAGGATTTGTAAACAGAGATATTTATCAAGGTTTTATCTAAAATAATAAAAATATTGCAGGTTTGAAGAAAACAGTTATTAATGGTATAATGCAAACCTATATATGCAATATAATTTAGTCCACATAAAAAAAAGTTAATCCACAGCCAAAAAATCCTGTTTGGAACTGTAATATAACCTTACCAACAGTAATCTCTGGATGGTAGAATTAAAGAACTTTTTATTTTATTCTTTGTGAATTTATTAGTTTTCCACAATAAGTATGTATTATCTTTATATCTAGAGCTACCCACATAAATGATAATAATAAAGATAGATTATTGCTTTCACAGGTGTATACATCTGCCAAGACATAAAACTGTATATTTTAAATATGTACAGTTTATTGTATACCAATTATGCCTCAATAAAACTATTAAAAGATCTTGAGAAACAAGATCATTCTAACCTTACTGGAAGAAGAGTTTTGTTAGACCATTTTGGGGCTGGAGGGCAAAATGTTTGGGAATTATATAGATAGTAACTGGGCCTCTGCTCCAGATAACCTCCATTCATTCAAGGGATCTGCCTTCCTATTATATGCCAGGAATGTTGTCAGGTAGTTCGATACAATGAGGAGCAACGACTGCTCTGAAAATGCACCCTTCTGGGGAGGACAGGAAGTCAGGTCACTATCTGATAGATTCTAGTTTATGCCCACATTGCCCAGGAAGTCTTCCGCTGGTGTTGTCCAAGGGGCCTGGAGGCAGGTCAGGCCAAAGCCTTAGTAGGTGGTTCAGTTGAAGCCGGGAAGGGTGGCAAGGGAATACAGCTGTGGAAGTGGCCAGGAGGGGGTAGATTACCCTCAAGGAGTGTGATGGTCATCACTCAGGAAGTGAGGTTAAACAACTCAATTTATTTATTTATTTATTTATTTATTTATTTAATTTATTTATTTAGAGAGGTTGATGTATTCATTGGTTGCTTCTTTTTTTACGGTTTTTTAAAATTTATTTTTAGAGAGAGGGCAATGGAGGGAGAGACAGAAACATCAATGGGTGATTGCTTCTCACAGCCTCTCACACACATCCTACTGGGGACCTGGCCCCTCAACTCAGGCATGTGTCCTGACTGGGAATCAAACCAGTGACTCTTTGGTTCCCAGGCGGGCGCTGAATGCACTGAGCCACACCAGCCAGAGCCACTGCTTACTTCTTTATGTGTTCTGACGAAGATCTAACCTGCAACCTTAGTGAATGCGGACAGCGGTCTAACCATCTGAGCCACCTGGCCAGGGCTTAAATGATTTTTAATGTATCTATGTTTATCTTAAATAAACATTTGTAAAACAGCAAGAACTAAAATCGAGTGTTTGCTGCTGCAGGTACCGCGTAAAGGCATTACATCCATTGCCTCATTTACTCCTCTCCATAATGAAAAAACTGAGTTTGGGAAAGGTTACCGCCCAGGGTCACAGATCTGGTAACCTCTGGCTCCAAAGCCCCCAGCCACCACACATAGTCCCCTCTCGCTGTACTCTTGGACCCATTTGAGAGTGAAAAACGTCCACTTTCGGGCCACAATTGGGGCAGCTCAAATTTTCCTAGATCCAGAATGGAGGCGACATCCTCTAGCAAAACCAACAGGGTCGTGCCCCCTGAGGGAACTCCACTAAAGCCGTGGGCTGATAGGATTTTAGAGCTCAAGGGGGCAAATGAGAAGCAACCCGCAAAGAACGACAAATGCCAAGCGTCCACGTCGCACCCGGTGCCGCACATTCGTGAGCCCCTCAAAACCGTCTGCATGTTGAGCACAACGCGATGAGCTCAACGCGCGTGCGCGGGGCCAGAGGGCACGCCCCCGCGCCAGCGCCGTGAGCTGGGCGCGCCACCGGGGGAGCGCGCGAGCGCGCTGCGGCATTGGCGTCGGCGTCGGCGCCGGCGCGCGCTCTGGAGCGAGTGGGCTAGGGAGGGAGAGAGGAGGCGGCGGCAGTGCCCCAGAGCCTAGGGGACGCGCGGGCCTCGCGCCGCGGGAGGAGACTGCTGCAGAGGGGAGCCCGGGCTCGCGGTCCGAGACCGGAGAGTGCGGTCTGTCGGCTGCTGGCCTCAGAGGTCGCCGGCCTTGTCCCTTGCCCGGAGTGGCCGCCGCCCCTGGAGACTCGTCTTGACACGGGCCTAAACCGCGGCGACTGCGGGTGTTCGGACCGCTGGGACCCGTCGGGCCGGGCTAGATTGGGGCGAAAATCCGTACGAGTGCCGACCCCTAGGGCCGACTGGGGACGAGTCGCCCACCGAGCGGCCCGCGGGCCGGGCTCGGCGGAGGGACCGCCCGCAAAGCCCCCCCCACTCCGTGGGTCGGAGCCGGAGTCGTGCCCCGCCTTCCCCGGGGACGCCCGACCGGAGCGGCGGGACCCGGGAGAGCCCGCGCCCGCCGCCGCCCGCCGCCGCCCGCCGGGCTCACGCGGGAGAGGAGGGAGGAAAAACTTTGCCTTTTATTGTTGTTTTAGTCCTTAAGTGCCAGGAACTCTATTAGCAGGAAAAATGTCCTTCTTCAATTTCCGTAAGATCTTCAAGTTGGGGAGCGAGAAGAAGAAGAAGCAGTATGAACATGTGAAGAGGGACCTGAACCCTGAGGAGTTTTGGGAAATTATAGGAGAATTGGGTGACGGTGCTTTTGGTAAAGTGTACAAGGTAAGAGGGAGAAAACGGGAAGTTGCCACTGTCCGGGAGTGGCACGAGGATTTCTGCTCCTCTTGTCCCTTTCTCGTGTCTTGCCCCGTCTTTTGACGACGTAAATGTGTGTTGAAACTTTAGGCTGTCATCCAAGGAGTGGCTAAGACGGTAGGGTTTCGGGTTGAACAACATGGGGCCTGGATGTAGGTTTAAAGAGTGATTGCTAAAGGGAGGCGCGGTTCCACCGGCTACACTGTCCAGCTCGAAAGGAAGTAGGGGGGGCGTTCTTTAATTTAAAGCAGGGGTCAGATTGTGGCCTTCGAGCGTTTAAGCATCTTTATACTTATGGTGAGTTACTTTCCAGTGGACTCGTGTTTGTGTACAGGCTGTCTGCAATCGTTATGTGTAATTGCACTAAAACAGTTTCCTTTTTAGGGTCCAGGGCATACATGTGGTTGTGTCTATAGCTAATACATAACCAGTATCTTGGGATGAGGGCACAGTGATTGCCACTTGGAGACTGTTCTTGAGTTGGCTGCTGACAACATACTATGAAATGGAGTGGAATTTCTGATAGAGAATTTCAAGAAGACCTGCATCTGGTATTGGTTTCAGAGTAACCTTTGACTAGAAGTCAACACCAGTGTTTAAGAAATTAAAAACTCACGTATCAATATATATATTTATTTCAGTAGAAAGTCTTGATGTTTCAACCTGAAGGCATTAATGTTAACTGTTTACTACCTGATATGCATAAATGAATGATGTCATTGGAATATTTTCATCCTGAAGGGTGAGGTTTGTATGAGACACAGGTTAGAGGGGAAGATCGACAGGGTTGCCTAGAAGTGAAAACAAATAATGTTTATCCAGGACTTTGCAGTTTTCAAAGCACTTTCACATAAGTTGACCCTGCGCAAGTCCTGTGAAGTAGATAGGTCAGTAGTATCTACATTTCACAGAGGAGGACACAGACTTAGAAATCATTCAGTCACACCAGTCACAGTCTAGATTTGAACTCGGGTCTTCTGATCCCATATTGATGGTTGTTTTTTACTTTAATGTCCATTGGTAAAAAATGATAGAATTTTTTCCTCTCCTCTAAACACCAGCACATTCCTGCCTCTGCCTTGCCTCAGACGCATCTCACAGCCTCTTGTCTTTCTCATTTCTTCCCCAGGCTGAAATAGCCATTCTCTGTGTGCTTTATGAACGCATTGTTCACGTGGTCACTTGGCATTCGTACATGTTATAGTTAATGTTTATGTTTTTATGATAAAACTAGGAGTCAAAATTATGATATACATTTGGATTTGTCAATTGCCTTAGCACATGGTGCATCTTTATATTTGTTGAAAGAATGTCTGTTACCTACCTGTGAGTGCTGTTAGAGTTAATTGTATGCTATGAAAGTTGGCAAAGTAAACTTGAGTGCTTGTTTGGAGTGTATCAGTGCTTATGGCAAGAATAGATGTATGTTAGGAAGGAAGGGCTTTTAGTGCAGTGGGAAGATCACTCTTGGGAACTGTGTTTTAGTGGTGACTGTCACAGCCAGCTCTATGGTCTGAACAGAACATGTCTCTGGACCTCCATTGTTTTAAAATCTGGAAATCATAGATTTCCCCAAATATTTGTTTAGATTTCTTCACCCATTAAATTTCTGTTAGTATGGATTTATCTAGGAAAGGCAGAAACAGATCCTTGAGGCATCTGGAATCCTGTGGTTAGATGGCAGTGGGTAATGCTGAGCAGTTCACATGGCACAGACATTTACTGAGTAGGAACACTACAGTGTTAAGGCACTGGTTCAGGAGTTGCACTCTGTCTTGGATCCCTCAATAGCAGCCCTTCAGCTTGGACAAATTACTTAATTGTTCAATGTCTCACTTTCCTCGTCAGTAAGACCTGCTCTTGAGTGTGTGAAAAGTAAGGGAGATAGTAAATAATAGACACATAAGAAGGGCTCAGTAAATGATAGAAATTACTGTTTTATATTTAGAACTCAGAAGCAAAATACAGGAGGATAGGAAAAGGGACCTATGAAAATAGTGAACTGTTTTCTTTTAAAAATATTTTAAAAACGTTTACTGATTTTGGGGGAGGGTGAGAAAGAGAGATACAGGCAGAGAGAGAAAGAGAAACATCAGTTTGTTGTTCCATCTACTTATGCATTCATTGGCTGAGTTTTGTATGTGCCCTGACCCCTGCAACCTTGGTGTATCAGGACAGCACTCTAACCAGCTGGGCCACCTGGCCAGGGCAGTAGAGAACCATTTTTCTATTTTCCCATGGCACAGGATGATTGTGGACATGACAGTGCCCTGTGATTTAATTATTCAATGACTCTGCAAAGTGTAACATAGTTTTCTGTAGTAAGACATCAATTGAAAATTTTCTGAAAAGGAAGAGACTCTGTAGTTGAACACTATAAAATTGTGTCGAGAATAATTTTTGTGGGCTCTGTGACTGTTTCAGTGTGATATTCGACGAGCGTGAATTCTTTGCATCTTTTCATTTCACTATTCTGTGCTTCCAAGGCTCTGAGATTTCTTTAAAAGAAAATTTAAGCTTATTTGACCTGTTTTTCCTGAAAGTTTTTGTTTTCCAAGATACTCTAGAAATGTTAAACTTATAAACTTCTTTCAGTGCAGGGGAAAAGCTATTAAACCTTAATATTGTATGTAGTAGAAAACTTTCTTAAAATTGATTCTAACCAGCATCTACTTAGGGAAAGTAGTAACTATTACAAAGATTAAATTATGAATAGGCACTCATCTTGGATACTTAGTTTATTTGAAAATTTTCCAACATATAGTTGTATTCTTTCCACTCAGTTCAGCACTACCCAACTCTGAAACAGTTACTTTCTTGCCTGAAAAATCTTCCATATTTTGATCTATTTCTCTTTTTTAATTGTGTGTTTTATTTATTTATTTTTTATTTTAAAATTTTCTCTTTTTTAATGTAGTATTATTCCTGGCTGGGTATCTCAGTTGGTTAGAGCAGCATCCCATTATGCCAGGGTTACAGGTTCGATCCCTGGTCAGGGCACATATAAGAATCAATCAGCAAATGCATCAATGAGTAGAACAACAAATTGATGTCCCCCCCCAATCAATCAATAAAAATTAAAAAAAAGATTTAGTATTATTTGACATGTAAATGAAGATATGTAATATCCCTCACAGTTTTTTTTTTTAAACATTTGGATTTCTGTTGTTTTTAACAGGAAATAAAAAGGAGTGACATAAAATTATGTATTGAGTTGAAGCTGACTTCCTGACTGTGCTGGATGCAAGTGTTTCTTTTTATGGCACTGATGAGTGTGCACCTTTAAAAAACTAGTGAAATATATAATCTTTGTTTTAAAAAGTAGAAAAATGTACGTGTACATTTAGCAAATAATAATAAAGTGAACTCATGTTAATTATCAGAGTCAAGGAATTCTGCCAGAACCCCGGAATTGCTTCCACCTTCCTTCTTAATTGATCCCTGTCTTCCTCTAAAGGAAACCACTGTCCTGTCTTTAAGTTATTCATCTCTTTGCTTTTCTTTATAGCTTACCATCTAGGTATGTATCCTGACATATTATAGTTTAGTTTTGAATGCACTTGAACTTTATATGAATGGGATCATGTTGAGTGTCTTGCCTCTGTCAAAGTCAGCATTCTGTTTGTGAGGTTCATCTTTGTTCAGTCACTTAGAGCTGTAGGTTACCTTCATTTTCATTATTGCATAGAATTCCATTATATGATTATATCACCTCTTATTTACCATTGTACTGTTAATGGGTATATCAGTTGTTTCCAGTTTTTGGCTTTTATATACAATACTGATGCATATATGCATGAGTTTCGCTAAGACTTAACTCGGGTAGAATTGCTGGGTTATAGGGTGGTGTATCTTTAATTTTACTAGATGATGCTAAGCTATACCAATTTACACTCCTACCAGCAGCATATGAGAATTTACTTGCTCTACATCCTTGCTAATATTTGATATTATCAGAATTTTTCAGTTTTGACAGTCTGATTTTGCTATATTTTTATTGTGGTTTTAATTCATTTTTCTCTGACTACTAATAAGTAATTCTTTTTCACAGGTGTATTGGTAAATTGAATTTCTTTTGTGTTGAAGTCCCTTGTTCGTGTTCCTGTTGGATGTCTTTCTCTTGTTTATTTGTGTATGTTTGATTTTAACCATTTTGCAAATCACTTTTCTACCTTGCCAGCTGTTCACTTTTAGTTTTCACAATTATGGAGCACTAGAGGGACGCTGTAAGGAGGAGGAGGAAGAAAGGACTTGCACTGTTCTCTTTGTTTCCTGTGGGCTTCCTGTCTGCTTTCCTGTTGCTGTGATCATCATCCTAGTGGAAATTCCTCACCCCGGCAACAGGAGTTGAATCCAGTTTGTAGGTTTTGCAACACACACCGAGCTAGCCTCATCTTAACCCTTCATAACACCAGCTCCAGTTGGCTGGTTTCCGCTTCCTCATAAGGTACCCTTGTCCCATAAGACCCCTCATCCAAGTTCAGAGATGCCAGTAGCAGCCGAGCAACACTGTCTCCTCAGGGATCTGAGTTTCAGCTCTGCAGAACCTTCCTTCCAATCTTCTGAGTTTTGATAATTCCAGACCCTTCCTTTGGCTCCTCTGGTCCTTGGGTAGTAGCTTTTCCTGCGGTTGTTACCTCCCAGAAGGGTAACAACTCCCTTCACCTTCTCTTTTTATCTTTTTAGTTAACTAGTTACCAACAGAGTCAATAATTACTTACATTAAATTTTCTGTATTAAAATAATCAATATGATTTCTTCCTCTTGGCTGGACCCTGATTAGTACAAAGATTAAATAAGCTAATAAATGGAGAATGCAGAGAACAGTATTTGGCACAAGGTAATTTGCTCAATGAATAACGTCATCTCATAGCATAATGGATACTATTATATAGAACAGCATACTTGAAACTTGAGATTTTATACCCCTTTTCTTTGCAAAATACTAAAATTTCCAATTTAATGCC